GTTTATTTAAATTTTTTGACTTCGGGCCACAAGACCCAAAGGAAGAAGTAATTGCAAGTGACGACAATGTTGACGAGCAAATTCTGCTGTCTTTGTGACCCACCCGGCAGTAGGTCACTATTCCGTAAGACTCAGGCGGAAATAGGGCCACAGCATTTTTTTTAAAATGCTCTTTCTGTTAATTCTTATTAATAAATATGTTTAATATGCTCGATTGTTGTTCTTCCCTCTTATCATTTTTATCGCGGGTTATTCAAAGTTAAAACTTCAGAAACCTCGTTCAAATTTTTGAATGAAAGGCTGTGCCAGGCTTTGCTTTTGTGCCAAATCTGTGACGACTAGGCGATGTTAAGATGCGTTTGCTGAAAAAACGGTGGCACCTACGCTTAATTTACTTTTGGACAATTTGTATAGAATTTGCCAAATATTATTTGAGTTTCTATGACTTACTACTCTATCTGTGAACGTTTAGGAAATAATCACTAGCAAAGTGAGTGTTTTTTCCGATTTCCTGAGCAGATGTCCGTTTTATTAAGCTCTTTCGTTAGTGTGACAACTTGAGAACGAAACGTCCGATTAAAATGATTCAAAATACGTCATGTATTTATTTTTCACTAGAAGTTGATTGGTCAATGCCACGGGTTAAAAATCATAACAATTTCCCCCGAAAATGGACTTGTTAAAATTAAGGAAGTCGAGCCGGCTGTTTAGGGGCTATTAGTCTCGCCTCCTCGCCCGGGCTCCTCAATAGACACTCTCCCGTACCCGCCTCCGCAGCCCCCGCGCGGAGACCCGCCAGTGGCTCCTGAGCGGACTGTATTTCCTTTGTTCTCCGGGTGTGAGCTCGGAAGCAACTCTGTCTCAAGATAAGTTGTCCAGAGCTCTAGTAGTCACCGTGACGGGATCGCAAGCCAGAAGTCCGAGGTTCAACTCTCCATCCGGTAAGGTATTACAAAATTACATCAATGCTTATTCAAATGCAATTACCGAAAGGCGGTAGGAAGGCGACAAGGAACGAGGGCAACGGCGTGGAAGTGGTTAGAAAAACTTTCTCCTTTTTTGAAAAAGCATTGAGTGTATAGGAAAATTCCTATACATGTGTAGGAATAATGCCACACACACACATAGTACATATCCTCTACACAGGTGTATAGGAAAATTCCTATACTTGTATGGTAAGAATACTATCGCGTATGGTAGAATAACCATACGCCTGTATTGGAAAATTCCTATACATGTATATGTGAATTGCTGCAGATACATTTATAGGAAAGCTACTATAGAAATTGTTTACAGTGTAGCCTCACACGTGGCGGCACTCGACTAGGGTAAGTCGTATATCGCTTATTTTCGATTCTTGCGTTGTAATAGTGTTTTCCAGGCGCCATTTTGGATGAAAACTCCTGGAAACATGTTTTAAGTTTTCTCCTTTAACGTTTTCATAACCCTACCTTGCCTGTTATTCTGGCCTGCCATAAGAGGTGGTTTTGAAAACTTCAATTTTGGGCGCATTTTTTTCTTCACTAAACACGCAATTTTACGGCCCTCTGGGTGAAAATTTTAAGGAGAAGGCTCTATCTCAGCCGGTTTTCGAGCTACGAATTATTATTGGAAGCGAAAAGATTGCTTATTTACAGCAATATAAAAACAATTCATATCATGCAAACCGGCAGAGATAGAGCCGGTTTGCATGATATGAATTGTTTTTATATTGCTGTAAATAAGCAATCTTTTCGCTTCCAATAATAATTCGTAGCTCGAAAACCGGCTGAGATAGAGCCTTCTCCTTAAAATTTTCTCCCAGAGGACCGTAAAATTGCGTGTTTAGTGAAGAAAAAAATACGCCCAAAATTGAAGTTTTCAAAACCACCTCTTATGGCAGGCCAGAATAACAGGCAAGGTAGGGTTATGACAACGTTAAAGGAAAAAACTTAAAACATGTTTCCAGGAGTTTTCATCCAAAATGGCGCCTGGAAAACACTATTACAACCCAAGAATCGAAAATAAGCGATATACGACTTACCCTACACTAGACCCCCTTTCTGGGTAGGACCACGCCTAGCAGAAGGCATTTTGGAGAAGTGTGAAAACTGTGATCTAAGCAACGGTAGAGAAAGAAAGCCTAATATTATGAATCAGGCGTAGTCTTTAATGCAGGAGCAATGATTTAAAAAACCCCGCCAGGGCGATGAACGTCAGGACTAGCCGTAAACGTAAGTTATTCTGCCGTCTTCAAAGTGCATCTGAAGGTTAGCGGCGACGCATATTTATTTGACTTTGAGGAAAACCAGACTCGAACGCCAATATATAAATACTGTTCAGAATTCTACTGAAAAATACCTTTCCGATGGTATACTTGACTGACTCCAGGGCGAGGAGTGACTCAAGTATACAATTACCGAATTTCGATTACTTTAACCTCTGACATTGCCTACTTTCAACTAAAATTTTACTCGCCACCTTCCCCCGAATCAAATAAGCCAAAGGGCTTCGAAAACGACAGAAAAATAACGATTCTACGGCCAAAAGACACAAATATGTCGCTTATTTTGGAAACCTCCCTTTACGTTTGCATTCCTCTCCAGTTTACTGTAGTGAGCCTTGCGTATGCTATGTACGTCTCTGCTGCGGCGCAATGGACTGATCAGCCGGCTTCATCCAAGCAGTTCAACATTCGCGTGTTTCTCAGCGCCTATTCGTCAATCGTCAACTCCCTCATCTTCACCAGAAATAGAAATACATTGTTCAGCACCATGGAGTGGGTGGCAGACCTGGCCGACTGCACGTATCGGCTGGCTGACAATAAAGGCAAAGTACGTGACGCTTGTCGGTCCGCTGTCGAAAGTAGAGGTGGAAAATCAAAAAGAGATACCTCTTATTCCAGTTTATGGACGATTTTCTAATCAACACCGATAACCATGAAAGAAAAAATAATAACAATGAAACCTTGGTACAAAACACCGCAGGTAGCTATGCAGCAGTCTGCTCTTCAAAGTCGGCTCTACACCAAATTGTTTCTCTCGTATGGTGCCACCGTGTATGTGGCGGTGGGCACGGGCCTATTACTGGAACATCGTCACTATTCCGACATTCTGGACATGACAATAGGAGGTATGAGCGACAGGTACAGTCACGCGTTCAATAGGAAAAGTTCGAAAACAGGTATGTAACCGACAACCAGCAACGATAAATGACTAAATTTAAACCTCTGTCACCGACGAGCCGCCGAGCAGTTCTTGTTGGCTGAGCGATTAGCAAAGCCCATAACTCCACTGACCGAAAAAGCTTCATTCTGTTTGTCTGGCTGTCCGCACGATAACTCGAGAAGGAATTGAGATAGCGATCTGGTAATTTTAGGGTAGTTTTGTATCATTAAAAGACAGATCGAGTTCGAAGGTAAGAATTTTACCTCAAAATTTGACTTTTAACACTAGAACTACCGGAGGGGTCAAAATGACCCCTTTTGATTTTAAATTGCCAAATGAACTATCAAAAAATTTTTCTACCGACCCGCCACTTTTTGACTTTTCATGGGTCACCAAAATACGCTTTAACACGAAAAATCAGGCATGTGCGTCAAAAACTTTAGGAGATATTATAACATATACCTCGCTCTACCGAAGGGGTCATTTTGACCCCCTGTGTTAGTTTTCGAGGGCTTTGATGGTTTTAACGAAAGGTTTTGAACTTAGACCTTGCTATTGTTGTTTTGTGTGGTAAGTATTGACTTCCGCTTGGTCGTGTGACAATTTTGAACCTCTATCAGCATAGGTAGGCAACCCACACATCACAAAATCAAGTTTTCCTTACATAATACTTGTGAGGCATTCGAAACGGTTCTGTCGGCCTGAAAACGCGTTCCATGGTCGAACAAAGGTTAAAAATGTTGATAAATGGTCTATTACGACTGTTATTGCATGATATTTGTATACTGTTTTATTCGCAGAATCAAAGTTTCAGAATAACTCACCGTATTTGCGGTGTTTACGGTTGTTGGTCAGTCTAAAATAAACACAGGCTATGCTAAAATGTTGAGAATGATTGTTTTTCATTGTAATCCTATGCAATTTTTCCGAAACGAAACGAAAAATTGCGAAAAAAATCTGTAAAACTTGTTGAAATTGCATTTTGTGCTTTGCGGGTTGCCTACCTACCCCCACACAGGGACCCCCGTAGATCCAAATACTGCATCAAGGGTCAAAAAAATCGAAAATAAGAAAATGTAGAACCGAAAACGCAGTCTTTTAACAGCTAAAACGGCAGAATAGCACTTAGGGGTCAAAATGACCCCTCCGGTAGATCTAGGTGTACGAAAATCCCGGTAGTTCTAGTGTTAAGAAAATCAAAAACTAGAGGTCGCA